CAATATGGGTTCACTTATAGCCTGGGTATACTGTGGACCTATGCTGTACTGGAAGCACAGTACAGCACGGCTCTAAAAAAAAATGGCTCACTTCCAGAACATCAAGTTGCTATTAAGTCGCTTCCTATGCACTGCACATGCACGCTATGCGCAAAAAGTGGTGCTAACATCATGTCCTATGTGCTGTATGCATGTATGCATGCATGTGCGCAAGCACTGCTGATTCAGCCATGTGTTCCACCTACTGAGTGCAATTGTGTAGGGGGTGAAGTCGGTGAGAATCTAGAAGCTTGCTTTTTTTCATGCTTCATTTTAATACGGACCCATAATACGTTATAGCAGGTTGCCCTGTATTGTGCTTCCGATAATACAGTATATTGCTGGAGGAATTGATTCTTGTTAGCTTTCTCTTGACAACAGGATGAATCAATAGCTGTAACATAAGAAAATATGTAACTGAATTGAAGGTCTTTAGGCATGATAAACTGAAAGCGAAGCAAGAACAATTTGTATGATTACCAATCACAGAGATTGCATTACATTCTGTAAAACACGTTTTTGTTTCCTTTTTATCTTGCAACTAGATATTTTGGGTTTATTAGTGGTTAGTCTGTATCGTCGCAGGATAGCACGAGGGACAAGAGAAGGTTTTGGAAGTGCAGTGAAGTGATTTGAAGAAGTCTGGATTCGAGGGAGGCTGATAGATCGTAAGGAAGCAGATGTGATATCCATATTACAGGAAGTTAGTTGCCAAAGCCATACTTGGCAACAATGTACTTGTGTATATGTATCCTGACCCCATAATTGAAAAACCGATGGAATGAATTAATACAGCTTCAGAAAGGAGCACAACACGTCAGACTGTCCTCATGGACTTTTACGAGGAGCTGATCTCCCACAAATGTTGTCTACTTTACACATTGTTCCTTTCTAGAGTGCTTTTTGGAATACTGTTGTATCTCAGTCAGATTGATAGGTTCAGTGAATTTTCCCTCGTAGCAAAACAGTCTGGTCTGGACTAAGAGTTACAGAGCTTTGAAAATTGAGCAAATGTTCTCTCCATTTGGGAAATTCAAGGGAGAACGTCCTACGATTCATCTGGACGTTATGTAAAAACAGGAACACCTAGATGCTAAATTAATCAAACATTTAACACTCTGGGTGATGAGAGATTGTGTTGTTACTAAAGCAATATTTTTACTTTTAATTTGCTCAACATCTACAGGAATAAAATCAAGGGTGGGGCAGTTGAGTTAATGTGTTTTCCTTTCATTTCTGAGACCTATGTTGTCACGAGGGAGACAAGCCACAGCAATATGGGAGGCAGGAAAAAAATAATCTTGGTGTCGTAAGAGGTGTTTTCAGACACTGAGGTGAAGATGTGTTGCTGAAAGAGAGTGAATTGCCCATTATTGTACATCAGGCTTGATTTGTACTTTGTGTTCAGCCTCATCAGGAGCTGGGTTTAGATTGTTCAGACTTAATTCACATGAGAACATAAGAAGTGCTAGACTTCCACCCTCGCTCGCCTCCACTGGCTTCCCACCCCCCAGAGGATCGAATTCAAGATCCTCATCCTCACCTACAAGGCCATTCACGGCCTCGCTCCCTCCTACTTCTCCGACTTACTATCCCCCTATCTACCTGCCCGTACCCTCCGTTCCTCTGGCTCCAGTCTACTCCACATCCTCCGCCCCAACCGCCCTACCATCAGTGGCCGGGCCTTCAGCCTCTCAGCTCCGAGGCTCTGGAACTCTATCCCCCAGTGCCTTCGCCGCCTCCTCCCTTTCCTCCTTCAAGGCCGCTCTCAAGACCTTTCTCTTTAACCGTGCCTTCAGCTCCCCTCTCAACTCTCTACCCCTTCCTCGCCCCCTCCCTTCCCTCACCCTGACCATTTCCCCCCTCCTCGCTCCCTCCCTTCTCTCCCCTCACCCTGACCATTTCCCCCCTGCTCAGGTCCTGACCCAACTGTCCAGCGCTTTGGGACGTCCTCCCGACGTGAAAGGCGCTCTATAAATGGAATCTTGTTGTTGTTGTAGACGAAAAAAGACCCAAGGTCCATTTAGTTAGCTTTCCACCTTCCTGACAGTCACATGCACAAATGTCTGAACTACCTATGTACTATATCCCATAATGTTAGCACATAGCACACTTACGGTCAACAGAGGAAAAGTAGATCTATCTGTGATGGATTTGTACCCCTTTGTACTGAAAGAGGACTGTAAATTATTGGAAAAAGGTAATCCAAGCATAATTTAAAATTTTAAAATTTAATTTAAAAATCCATTAAAGTCCGTGGACAGAAGCAACATCCAGATCTTGTTCGTTGAGGCTGTGCACCATAAGGCGATAACTGGGTGTTTGGGCTCAAAGGATCACAAAATACCCTCTTCCGAGAGATCCACATGTGCTGAGAATGAAAGGAACAGCCTGCTGAAGCCAGATGATGCTTTCACAGGTCACTGGTTCGCATTAATTTGAAGAGCTCAAAAGGAGTGCTGAACTATTACTTGGTACATACAAGTGATAATGACCATATTGGCAGGATAATGGTTCATTCAGGCAGGAAACCCTATTACACACCATCCATTGGAATAAATCTCCAACTTAGAGTGTGAAATATCGCAATGAAGATGCTATATGAAATGCAAGGATTATTATATATATTATATATATATGTACTAGCTGTACCTTTTGCTGTTACGCTTGCTACCAGTTTCATTTAATCAGCCATCCATCTTTCGTCTGGCATTTTTATTTATCTTTGAATGGCTTGATCTTCGGTTTTAAGGGATAAAGATACCTAAGGATTAAGAAAATGTTCTATTGAACTCGTTAGCATCCCATGTTCACATAGTTGCGCACACATCCTTTTGGGAGGACTACTATGTGAGGACTCATGGTTGGGAGGACTTGTTGGGAGTCCATATATGTGTGATGAACTTGTTTAGGTCACGATAGGAGATCCCTGAAAAATGTATGCCCATGTAAGAACTTTCCGATGAGGTATAAATCATGTCTCTATGTCAATCGGTTATTGCGTTCTTGGCAGTCAGACAGACATTTCATTTTTATTAGTATAGAAGATGTATAACAGTATTATTACTCAAAAGAAATATTAAACTGGAACGTTTTATCTCTACTGGTAAATTGTTCATCTTCTGCAAAGCTTTTGGGAGAAGTTGCCAAGGAAGAATCTCCCATTTTATTTTTCCCCAAATTCTGTGTTGCTCAGTGTTGAATTTTAATTTAGTATCACCTCTGATTTCAGGAATATGGTTCATTGGATCAGTCTTTATATGAAGTGCAGGAATGGAGATCGTGTGTAGCTAATACCATTTGTGTGTTCAGAATTAAGAGCCGGTGAGCAGAAAGACATCAACACGGATCCTGATCCATTACTTCCAGATCTTTTCCTGCGTCTTCGAAGTAAGGTTGAAATAGTTTTGTAAAGCACAATGAGGAGACTGACAGGAGGCTAGGGTGTTCATCTTCAATGGTCGAATGTTATTCATTTCTGTCAGGAGCTTACCAGACCTCAGTGTGAGGACAACAGTGGCACCATCTGGTGTCTTATGCCAACTCGGTGCCTGAATTGCAAGGATGTTTAGATACCACCACATGATCTCTCCGAGGCAGAGGAACTTCATGCGCTGTAGGTTGATTGATGTTTGTTCTGGTGGCAGCCTCAGAATTAAAATTACACTGCCCGATGTCCAACACCCACCGTGATCGCACCAGGTGTTCTGTATCTAATTTACTGCTCTCTTTCTGAGCCCGAGGTCTATGACAGAAGTAGCAAGACGAGAATGCACCCAGGAAAAACAGCTAGCCTGGAATCTGCATTTATTTGGTGTGGGCATCAGCAATTTGTTTTTAATCTGTATATGCTCTATTGTTCCCGTTTTTCTCTTAATTTTTCTGTTGTATGTGTTGACCTGAAGCTTGCTCAAAGTAATGTAACAGTAACCACATGAGAATTGGTGTTCTCCAGCTGTCAGTGTTTGATTTGTGCCAGGCTACAGATTGGATTTGCAATGGCAATTGCAGATTTTGGCCAAGTTCCTACCAGTTTCAATCTTTCACCCTGTTTTCTATAAAGTAGCAACTGCCATTGACGGAGAGGATCAGCCAATGCGACCCACCCTCAAATACTGGACAATCAAACCAGGGCTAAAAAAGAAAAGGCATATCATTGTTTTTGATGTTTGGAACGGTTTTAGTTTTGTACCAGGAAATAAACATTACAGTTTACGAAACTGCAACGAGAGCATTTTCAGGGTGGAGAGGTGTTTGGGTTTCTTCCCATTTGCCTGATATTTTTTATTACCATTCTCCACTGTTTGTCACCCACGCTGGACAAAGAAAGGTATTTCTGATAGCCGGTGAATTGGAATTGATAGAGCTGACAGTCTGGATGTATTAGGGTTAGATGCTAGATGTTAGATCTGTTACCCTGTAATGAGGGACAGATGTTGCAGTAAAATGTACTGGGTGTTTTATCATCAAACCTGAAAGCTTTTTGTCAGTCAGCTGGAAGGCAACTCCTGAATGTAACTTGTTCGTTCAGACCATTACAAAATAAATAAATTATTCAGCAAATGGTGATCATAATATAAGGCAAGAATGACTGGACCTCCAACGTGAGCTAGATCAATGTGATTTAATTACCCTCCTCAACTTGTAAATTACCCACCATATCCCACAAAGATCCTAGTCAAGAAAAGAGTCCCAACTGTAGGCTAATTTAAGGCTTTTAACCATTTCTTTCATACACATTCCTTGCCTGTTGAGACCCATACTTTTCAAAGAGTTAATCTCGGATATAACCACCTACAGTTCTGGCCCTGTGGAATGAATACAATTTTGTAAAATAATACTGGCCCACACGCTGGAGAGGATCCTAAAGCAAACAGCTTTTCTTTGTGGATATTTAAAAGTTTTCATTCTTGAATATTGAACAGAACTGTCACCATGGTGTTCACCTGCTGTTGTTTCAGGGACCATATTTACCTTGAAGGTGCAAATAAACGATGCGGTCACTCGCCATTATCTACAAGAGGCCCACGTCGATGTCTTTGTTAATCACACAAAGACCAACTCTGCGTTCACTGAAGACAGCGGAGGTGTGGTCTTCAGAGTACCTTATGAACTGGGCCTTACCCTGACTGTCACAGCTAGCAAAGGAGGCTACGTGCTAACATCTTTGCCTTGGAAAACCAGAAGAGTGCCAGGTAAGCTACACCTCCCCTGTTCTTGTGATTCACCAAGCCATTGTGTTGACTGACTGCGTACCTTTTGGTAGGTAATTCGAAATGGGGCACAAGGCAAAGGGATTTTGGTAGAGTGCCAGAAGGCGGGGGAGCAGAGGCTGAAAGCTCAGCTGCTCATAGTGGGACCAAGGGGGAGAGAGACATTTAACACTGTTTGACACATTTTCCATCTGCCACTGTGTTACTAAGTTGGCAGTTTTGCATTAACTGACAGGAGGGGCAGAATATACATCCGACAACTAACACAGCACGCATTTTCAGGATGCTCACTATCCATGGGAAATTTTACAATAATAATAATCCTTACATTTGACATAACATCTTTCATTCAGGAGGACATCTCAAAGCAATATACAGGATATACTGTAAACTGTGGGGACTATGTATTATGGGCTATTTACTGTTTCTTTCTGCCAGTGTTTGCAGCTGTAACCCTTTCAATGCTGCCACAAAGTCGAGCGAGTCTCTGGCTGTTTGAAGATACCGTGTTAATTACAGGAGGAAAAATGGGTGGGTTAAGTAAGTGACTATCTTTATTATTCATTTACTATTCTTACCACTGATAACTGAAATTACTGGAATGGAAATTATTGCTTATATTAAGTGAGTGAATGTAGTGCTGACATTTCCTTTAGAAGTAGCTAACCTTCGTGCTGTGGAATGAGGATTGACACTCTGTAACTGACTCGTGAATGGAGCCATCTGATTTACATTGCTATTTAACATCTGTAACAGGAGTCAGTAAGATACTGCTGTTAAGCAGGTATTTTCTGTCATAATGATCTGTCTCGTTTCCATTCCAGATGACAAATCACATCCTAGTGTCCAGTTTCCAAAGGGATCATTGAAATTACCAGAAAAGATCACTTTTTCTAATCTAACAGCCTATCTCACAGCTCCACAACCCCCCTGGGGTACAGACAATTTTCTCACTACACTGGGGACTCTAATGAACAAGTCAGGTAAGCCTTGCTTACTTCTTGCAATCATTGCTCTCTCTATTCTAGCTTTTTTTGTTTTCATATAGTAACACTTTTGTGCACCAAAGCTTTGGATAATATTGAATGAAGTAACTTATTAAAAATAATTGTTTAGGGACATGAGTGGTGCAATGAACTAGCAGTCTTCCTTTATGTGTTAGGCCAAGGTTCTGTTCCAGCTCTGTTTAATGAACTGAAAGAATCTTTGCTGCTGGCTGTGCCGGTGCTATGTGAAATGTGCTTGAGCAATTTCAACCCCACAGCACACCGTTTACCCCACAGCATAATGTTTTCCGTCATACTGGTTATATAGGGACCTCCTTCGCAGAGATTTTAAAGGTGGCTGGTGTGGAAAATTGAAAGATTCACTCTAGATGCAGGAGTACTCTTCAAAGGAGGAGGAGGAGTGTTACATTGGCTGTGAACTAAACACTAGGAGTAGCAAACAGAAAGAAACATTTTTGATATTTAAGAGAAAGTAAAAACCATGTATTTTAGGTGAATGTTGGGAAGGATAGGGACTGCCCTTAATCCAGCACTGAGTTCACTAACTGGTTTGCTGGATTTAATACAGATGCTTTGTGTTCCAGGCTTGAAGAGCATTGAGCTGACGCCTCTGGCTGCTATCAGTGTTCAGCTATTTTCTGCAGAAGAAGATATGACGGTGACTGGGCCAATCCACATTACATTACCTCTGCCTCCAACACACCGAGTGAGACATGCAGATGCTCTTCCAGCCTGGACATTTGACCTGAAAATTGGTATGTCAGGAAATGGCATTACAAATGATGCCTAATGTGAAATACAGGCACTGAAGGTGTTTCAGAGACACAGGCAGGATTACTAAAGTGCAGCAGTGGCGCAATGATGACCTCAAGGGTTTATTCTGTTTCTAGGGAATGCATTTTAATCGGTTTATGCCAACTTCAGCTAACTTTGCACCTACATACAAACTGGCAATTAGTTAATTGCACCTCTTACCCTTTGAAACTATTGCCTGCCTTTTCTCTACATCCTTTAATACCTTGACTTCCTTAGCATTTAGCTAAATCCCTTTCAAATACTTAAACTGATTCTGATCTTTGGCCTCCTAGGGCAGGGCATTCCGTATTCTGACAATTTGTGTCAATTGAATCTAAACATAGACCTCTATCTCTCTCTCTCTCTCTATATATATATATGTGTATATATTATTTATGTATATACATTACTTGGTAGGTAATAAAAAGTGAACTGTTTTATCTTGTGTTGCTTTGTGGTCCAATGTAAATCAGAAGTGTATGTGGATTCTAAACTTAATTGCAAACAACGAGAAATATAGTACGCACTCTTAATTCATTTTTCATTACAGGTGCTTGGGTAAATAGAGGAGTCGGAATGGTTAAGAACGAGGGTGGACGTCTTATATGGATATATGAAGCTCCTCATCTGGGACACTGGATAGCTGCCCCATTATCTATAAACACAGGTAAATGCACACGTTCTTCATTTAACCTCAGAGTAAGCAGTGTTATTTTCCAACATCTTATAATTCCTGACATTCTACAATTTCTGGAAGTGGGGCTGAGTATTCTAAGCCTGTGCTTCTGGAGCAGTAAGTATATAGAGTTATGGGTTACATGGTAATCAACAGTATTCACTGACAAAGAAAATCTTAAATTTACACTGCTTTCATTTTAGTGCAGAAATGTGACTCCAACTTAACCTCACAAAGCAACTGGATCCTTGGTCAAACTGGATTGAGTTTAATTGCTTTAAACAGTGGCAATCTGCTTCACAGATTTGTTCTGAAAGTTCTGAAATCATTGAGGTGAATGATGAACATGTTTTGAGCTTTTAATTAATATATTTTTACGTACCAGGATCCATAGACCCACCATTGTGTTCTTATTCAGTGGGGTCGGCAGCGCTGCTAGGCCCTGAGGCTGAAGGAACCGTGCATACCAAAATAACTCCTGTGTTGGCTTTGTTCTCCTTGAGGAACTAAAATACTGGCACAACTTGAGACGAGCTCCTGGAAGATTCTAGGTTGTCTTTAATTGATCTCACCCTCAGAAAATATGGCAAATAATAAATTAGAATGTGTTAACAGATTCAAAATTCTGCAGTAACAGTACATTTTTGTTGGATGCATTTAGCAAAACAGCAATGTCATTCTGGTATGTTTGAGATGGCGATGGAAGGAACACAGCCAAGTTTTTCAGTTCATTCGAAAGGAGACTGAAAGTTGGCAGTCGTGGTCAAATGCTTCTCATTACTATTGTGTATTGGCCTACATTGGCATTGCAAGAGATTGCATTATAATTACATTTTAGTTGGATAATTTATCCTGATTCATAATTCTCTCCAGGAGGGCGATTCAAAATATATTATTTGAGAGATTCATTCTACGTGAAAGGCACTATATAAGGGCAAGTAGTTGTATGTAAGGGTATGTGAAATATTTTTCCTTTTCACTCTTTTGATGTTGCAATGCTCCCACTCTGTCTCAGTGCCAAACAGCATTCCCAAACTGAAAGACAGGGAATCGACTTCTGGCCGAGAGTTAATGACGAGAGCTGCAAAGGAACAACCCTCTGGGGTTGCATCTTTTATTTCTTCTCCGTCCCTCCCTCCTTGGGAAAATGTTCAGCATCCACTTGGTGCTGCCTCCGGGTAGACTTATTGACCATGTTGAACATGTTATTAAGTACAATTTATTTATGCCCTCTATTTACCGGGCTTCGTAGTAAATTACTGATGGGGGTCGAGACAGGATACATATTAGTTTCCAAGAGGTAACTAGATAAATGTCTAAAAATAAATCATTTTCAGGAATATGGGGAAAAACGCAGATAAATGCTAGTGGGTGGATTACGCTTTCAAAGAGCCAGCACAAATACGACGGGCCGAATGGCTGCCTTCCGTGCTGTAAATTTCTATGATTCTAATGTTGATTCTGTGTTTAGTGTAAACTTATACACAGCCTGTGTCATTTACTGAAGTCTCAGCAAACAGACTGTCCCATTTCAAAATAAGATGCAGAGAAATGCGAAGCTCGGACATTATTAATGTCTGGTTTGGTTCATCCAGGTTCTATTGATCGAATAGCAAAGGATATAACTGCCTACCACAGCGTGCTGCTGGTGGCCATCCTAGGAGGAACTGCAGTGATCCTTGTGGGGTTCGTGGCTGTGCTCTTTTGTTACTGCAGGTAGGGGAGTTGGATATCCCGATCTGTCTGTAGACACCTATACCACTGGAGTATCGTAAGTGTCCCAGATGAATATGTACATCTTCAAGTGTTTTGTTTTCGAGAAAAGTAGTATTTGATAAAATGCTGTTTGAATGGCTTATTCGTATAGTGCATGACCATTCAATCCTGTTAAAATCAAGTGGCTTTCCCAAATCCTGATCAGACAAGTGTCTTTGTAAAGAGATCCCTACTCCCTTCCAGCACACAGCTACCTGTCAAATGACCTGGGGTTGGAAGCAGCAATGTATAAACTGCCGGCTTTGATCCAGGTGCAGTTAATCATTTTCAACACTTTTGATGAAGTGGAAGACTGAAGCATAGCAAATTCTGCACTACAGACACCACCCCTGCTGACCGCCTCAGACTGCCTGAGGTCACAAATGTAAAAGAAAACGCCATTTGATAAAGTATTAAAATGTTGTTTAAAAGCAAAATAAAGATTGCTGTGGTTTCCACGACTGCTGGGGCATATATGCCTCCACTATCCCCCCCCCATTCCTCCAAACTAGTTGCAGTTACTGAACTGTCAGGGAATGGGCATAAGAGAAGTGGCTGAACGAGAATGGAGGAGGCTCCATCATGCCTGTCCCAACGGCTGCTCCCATAAGCTGTTCAGCAGCTTGCCCTCTTGGCAGGCAGCAGGAACATGAATCTTTACCCAGATTTCAGTAATAATTCACTGGAGCACAAATCACTAGTTCAAGGCCTCAAGGCAGCAGTTTGGTTTGAAGCCTCTTCCTCCCCTTGACCTGCCTGTCTGAATTACTGTGCCCTGCCATCGCTCCGGGGCACCACATTCTCTCATACCTATTGATTAATTCAAATGAACCCTGTGGTCTGATGGTTGTTCCTCATAATGTTTATTATAAAATTTTGTGCATACAATTGTCGTAATTTTGTGTATAAAATTGCAGTAATTTGGTGCATAAAATTGTACTAATGGAAATATTTTGGGAATAATTGGAAGATTCATCCCAGGTTGACACGATTGTGAGATCGTCCAGCAAGGGCCTGAAAGAATTTTTGTTTCAGATCCTTTCCAGAACCACAATGACGTGAATTAACTTCCACTACATTCCCTGTGTTGATATTAACACACGATATTTCGTGTTCCTCCACAATAATACACAGTCACTCCACTTTATAGTATATCCTGTGAAGTACTTAGAGAAGTCTTCTTGGCTTGAAAGGCTCTATATCAAATTTAAGAATGATTATTATTTGACTTAGACAAAACAAATCTCTTTATTTTAGTTAGACTAATCATTGGTTGATTGATGTCTGATTTCTAACTTCTCATCGTAGGCAAACAATGTTCGTCTCAGAGCTGACATTTATATTTACTTCCTGATCCTGTCGCATTAAATTTAATAGTCACCAGGGAACTGTAAATCTTCGTAGTGTTTTGGGATTAAGTGTCTGGAGTGTGCTCCAGCCATTATTATAATTTTGTACTCTGGGCTCAGTTCAGGCTCTGGGATGTGGCCAAAATGGCCATTGTTCATGGTGAGCTTTCGAAATGAGTGTTGGCTAATTCCACTGTGGGGGGAAGGGGCAGAATCGCAGCCCAATCCTATCCTCAACCAACAGCCATACAAACTTGCATTTCAGGTGGGTCTCTGGATAGAGATCAACAATAAATTACACTTGTATAGCGCCCTTCCACGTCGGAAAGACCTCCCAGGGTGATGGACAATCAGGTGTTTTGAACCCGAGCTGGGAGTTGGGGTCAGGATGGGTGGAGGCCAGGGGGGTGGTGGTGGGAGTGTGGCCAAAGGCACGGAAGAAGAAGAAACTGGAGTGGAAATGCTGGGTATGTTTTCCCTTGTTAACAAACAAAGTTTCCTTTCCTTAATAAAGAGTTGCTGAGGCCCATTATTGCACCCTAACCCCTGGCACTGGGATTGAAACCTTCAGCTTTTTGGTGTTCATGTGGACCGCTGTACAAGGTTTCTAATCGCACTCACTATTGGAGTTCTCTGGTGTAACTCGCCATTCTCTGGAAGGTTGGGAGTCATTCTTTTTGTCGGGTATCATGGTCTCTTTGCAGTTCAATATTTGGCAAAATACAAGCTCGTCTTTCAATTCAATAGCTTCAAGAAACTGCCCGGGGCCACTGTTTTTCCACTACATTGTTGCTTCTGCTATTGAAACCAGGGCACTGTCACTGCCTAAATAACACTGATGTTCTCTTCTAACTGCTGGTAAATTAGTGCTGTCACTTCATTTGTGTTGGAAAAAGGCTCCTCAACAAGAATGTTCTTGATTTCTTAACAGAGGAAGGTATTGCAAACCACGGAAGAAACGGAGAAGGAAGACTAAAATGGAGCCATCGAAGAAAGACCAGACCACTGCGACCACTCATGTTAATCTGACCCCCTCCATTAAAGACAACTTGAAATCTGATGAGAACTCTGGTTCCCAACAAGCCAAGATCCTCTCTTACAGTCCCAGGAGGGAATTGACCAGCAAAGAAGTCGATGACTTCTGTAAACGTGTAGGGAAAACGGCCGAAGCGAAAAACAAAGAGAGCTGCAAGATTTACGTCGAAAACGTCACGGTTCGTTCTCGGAGAAGATTAGGAGAAACCAGTCACCAGAGGGAACCGACCTCTCAGCAAGTATTCAGCAGCGCTGCCGAGCTGCCCAAAAATGCATTGCAAATCAAACATATGAAAATGTTAGCCAAGCGAAAGGACATCACAGAAGAGCAGTACAAGACTCTGCATCCAACGAACGAAGAAACATACCCACTGCCTAATATTTTGAACAAACATTTTCCTATTTACAATCCTTCTGTCACCATCCTGCAAACGCCAGACCACTTTCTTACTCCAGGCCAGGTTTCTAGGTCAGCAACAATGCCTCGAAACAGGCAGATGATCTACAGCCCTCTGGCTGAGCCAGTAACCAGGGACAGCTACACTCAGACACTGCCTAAAATGCCAATGCATTCTCAGCAGCAGGCAGAAGCCCACAGAGAACAGCAAGCTCTTCAGGCACAGCAGGAGTACATCAATTCCAAACAAGAGCTGGACTCCAACCCAACCATCCCTGCTAACTGGGGGAGGTACAGTAACAATCTGTTGGAATCTGTGTCAGTCCCTGGCACACTGAATGAAGCGGGAGGAATGACTCCATTTGCCACTGAACTGCAGGGCATATCTGAGCAGACCCTGTTAGAACTGACCAAAGGCAAGCCCTCACCTCACCCGAGAGCGTGGTTTGTGTCGCTGGAGGGCAAGCCGGTGCCTCAAATCCGCCATTCCTGCGTCAACGCCCAGAAACCGAAGAAGACGCACAGCAATGACACCAGCCTGGATTCCGGAGTCGATATGAACGAGCATCTCATTGGGAAGAAGCTCGAGAAAGAAAAGACTTTCGTCAAGAGTACGACTCCATCGAAGAACCTTTACTCAGAAGAGATGGACTTAAGCGGCAGTGAAAATGGGACTGCGGTCTGCAGCCCGGAGGACCTAACCTTGAGGCACGTGCTGGATGGGAAGAACGGACAGTTGGTGGAAGAGGCACTTTCTCAACAAGAAGAGCTCGGCGACAGGGGCTCGCAGCCAGAGTGCAGGCTAGGCATGATTCCTCAACGCAAAAAGGGGAAAAGGAATAGTGACCAAGGAGAGGAGGATGGTAAGAAGAGCGTTTGGCAAAAGAGAGAGGAGCGGCCACTTATCTCTTTAAACTAAGTACATTGTCTCTAAATCTTCAGATTACAATAAAGCACAGTGTTTGTTTTGTTCACCGAGTTTGTACAGACGTTACTTTTACTAATATTGCAGCTCACTGTATATCGCTCGGATCTCTGCGTGCATTAAATTCACTGTAAATACGTCAACAGATGGACATTGCAAACCTTCCTGACTGACGATGCGAAGCACTAGCTATATGTGCTCTTCAAATGCTTTGCCACTTTCAACGTGTTGAAGATCATCTGCTCACAGTGTGCACTCTCTTTTACATTAGGAGTCAATCCCATTTTTTTGTTTCTCTCTATCTCTCACCTCTGCCACTATCAAGATTTAGCAAGAAAAGGAGACAAATTAAAAGCCCAGTGGCATTACTGCTGGGTGTCTGTTCTGTTCCTTGAATATCTGTCAGTATAAAGCACTTCTTGCCAGTTGCAATCGAGTGCCCCGAACAAGGACTGATGTGAGACTGATAATCATGTTCTAGATGAGATGCTGACACAGACCTGCACTCGTATTATAAGGACCGAGGCAAACACTGTACAGCTTCACCTGCAGACAGCTGGCATAACCTGTTGTGTTTGATTGTGAGAGTAATTAATGGCGTGGTGGAGTTTGGCATCTGATGCAAATTGTTCATTCCCAATATGTGATATATGATATAGTTTTACATTGAAATATACTTTTCTAAAATGTTAAACCTTGTATGTTTTTTTTAAAAAAAACATAGATTCCCAGAAGCACAAATTTTAAGGGTTGCTGGAAATTGTAAAGTTTGCATGAGGCTTTGGAAGCACTGATTTCAGGATGCACAAAGCAACTTTCTTTTTTTTGAAAACAAAGTGGGTCTGATGCAGATTCAGGAAATGTATGGCTTCTGCAGTCTGAGAAACTGCTGTCAGTGTGGAAACAAAAAGGCAAATATTACAAACAAATCTGAAAGATTTACTGTGTTGAACGATATTGTAAAGCCACTTCAATGCACAGTGCAAAGGTTCATTTCTGACTAAATTCTTAACAACCAATCATTTTGAACTTTTATCATTTGTTCTTATTGTGACAGAGGTGGGTAGAATAAACCGAGTAAATTGCTTTTAAAATATTCTCTCAACCAACTTCTAATAAACACTTATGTCCATTTCCATTTTCTGAATTCTCATCACAAGCCCAGTTTATTACTTTTATTGTACATGGAAGAATTTGCCTTTTGATGTGTTATTAGTGACTAGATTCTGTGTCTTCTAGGACTTTTGAAGCTGATCATTGGCTAAAATAGCACAGAAAAGATCATTTAAGATCTTTTGCAATTTGAGTTGAATTTTAGTTATTAATTTATTATTGCCGATATTCTGGTTTGCTGATATCAGGAGAATTATCTGACCAGAATATAACTACGTTAGTTAAATTTGTAATGTAAAGTTGTGTAGCTAATGTTCAACTTATTTTTACCTTCGCTTTGTCAGTTCGGAGTCAGTGTTTTCAGTGAGTAAAGTGCATTGGAATGGAAAACTTGCATTTTCATTTTGTTAATTGCTGTAATAGAAGGAGGAGTCATTGTTTTGAAAGACCATCAGGAAGTAATTTAATGTGTTATGGTTTGAGAAAGATGGTGTAATTTATTGAGTGTGTTGTCAAGCATGGTTGCATGTTTTCCATACATTGTTGTTCATTCTCAAAGCCGGTTTTGCTATTTAGACCGTTTTCCATTGGTGTAGTATTTCTAAGAACTCGTGGAATCCATTCAGAATTGTTTAAATGCACTGTTTAAATTCCAATAAAATAGAATCGTGTTTTCTTTACATTGAATTTGTTGGACTCTCATGCAAGATCCTTTATTCAACAAGGAAACCAATTATTTAATCCAAATGGCTTCTGATTTTTGTTGTTGTTGCCATTTTATGATCATTGGTTTTGCTTCCTTTGTACAACAATTGCATCTGTTCAAAGATAATTCTGAAGGACTTTGTCCAACAAATGCACAGGCAATCCAATTTACAGTATATCCTGTGAAGCACTTTGAGACATCTCGATGATGTGATAGGGTGTTAAAACAAATGCAAGGATTACTATGATCATTATTCACCATAAGTAATAACAAACCTTGTATCTGTAATCCTTTTACAAAACTAAAGGAGAAACGTGTGAAACGACGAAAGTGCAACATCCAGAGAAAGGTAGTAGCACAAAGGATTGTTGCTGAGATGAAACGTCAATATGACCATAGCGCACATTTCCGTAAATCACCCAGCATCTCCCAGGGCTCTTAAAGAGTATGTTAAGATAGTTTCTATGGGATATTGTGGAGTCCTGTAGCTCAGTGGTTAGAGCACTCGCCTTGCAAGCAAGAGACCTGCATTTGATTCGTGGCAGGACAAAATGTTGAGCAAGTTTCCTTATTTCACACGGCTCTGTTTACCTAGCAGTAAGTAGGAACCTGGTTGTTAGTTGATTGGCGGATCGCTTTTCCGGGGGTAATAATTCCTTCAAAAATAATAATTTGGTCACTCAATCCACAACTGTTTGTGGGGCGCCGCTGTGCGCAATTGGTTGCCGTATTTTGCCCACAAAATACAGTTGATTCACTTTACATATATTCTGTGAAATGCTTTGAGATGTCTCGAAGACGTGACAAAGCTCTGTCTGAAATGCAAGGATTATTATATTGTTCATGCCACATGCCCCTCCCTCATTACAAAGATACAGGAACTAAGTGAGAGTGAAACTGAAAATTTCACCCTAATCAATGTAAAACTATCTTCAAGAGAGAATTTGTTCTGGCTGAAGAATCAGTCACTGGAAATGTTTGAATAAGAGCCGGAGGTAAGGATTACTCTCCTACAGATCTGCTAAGGTGTATTCCGTTATGCAGTAAGTTATCTGATATATAGGGGGAAAGGGTAGAGCGTGATTTTGAAATGTAAACGTTTAACATTTCGCACAGCAGGAAATGAGTACGTGTGGCTCAGCCAGGGGCTCCAATGTGTTTCTAATTCACAATGTAGTGGTGTAAGATATAACTGCAAACTCTCATTGATTCACCCACGGATCATCTGTTGTTTTTAACAACAGGTTTTTAATTGCTTGGTCACTTCAAAAGTGGCCAGTGAGGGACGAAACACAATTTAGCAATTAATAATCTCTGTCGTTAGATAAGAAGTTACAAGATATTTAACATCTCAGGGTCTGAGACAGAGAGAAAAAAAAATAGACTGAGAACACAGCGAATGCTCAGGACCAAATGATAGTGGCTATAGTCTGAAGTTGAGGATAAAAGTTAATTTTGTTTCTATAAATGAAATTATTCTTACAGCTGTAAACATCCAACATGGAGGCGATTCGGAGGTCAAAACTCCACCTTCTTGAATGGTTAATGGCAGACCCTGACTTTATCTTACAAGCGGTTCAGCAAGATGGGCTTCTTACTCAACGACAGTACCTGAAGCTGAAATCAGAGTCGGATCCTGAAAAGCAGATTATAAACCTTCTTGATAGCGTGATGGGGAAAGGCCAGCACTTTTGTGAGAAGTTCATTTCCATTCTGCAAAAAGATGAGGTACAGGATACCTATCCTAACCTGCGAATGTGGGACTCACCCAGACACCCAGGTATGGGCCATTGTTATCAGTAGACTGTCATCTATTCCATTAGTATTTTCTTTTTTCTATTTTAATGTAATTTGCTTTTATTTATACTCCAATGCAAAATAAATGCAAAGACAGTTGATTCAGGTTTATGTTTGTTTTATTACTACTTTAGGGCTCCCCTCGCCAGGGATAGAACCCAGTGACATTTCATACCAGTTTCCAAACACTGTTATTGAGTTGTGCCAGAGATTCCAACCATAGTTTGTTTTTTTCCCCCCTGCAGTTTGTATGTAACTCAAATTTAAACAGACTCGAGCCAAACAAATTGTAAGGGAGAGACCATAAATACTCGAACATTGAACAAAGAGCTGCAGATCCATGGACCCATTTATTTTACAACATTCACCACAAATTCTTAGAAAATATGAAGAGGTTTGAATCAAACCCACTTTGTCTCCTTCCACAAAATAAATCTCAATTAAAGATTTTGGATTCAGATATATTTTCCATTAGACTTGTCCCCTGACCGAAATCTGCATCCTTATTTTTTATTTATACAGAAAACATTGAGAAAAAAAAACATGGCTTTCATTCTAGTAATAACTTATTTGTAACATCTCCATCTTGAGCTGAACTCAAACCGAGCCTTGAGAAGACAATCTGAATCAATCGGATACACCTGAAGATGTACAAGAACATATTCAGGATGGGTTAGCAAATACATCACTATGTGGGAAAAGGCTAGGACTCCAATCTATCAGCTCTAATGAAACAGCCAGGTTTAGGAACTCAATGCCTGTAGAATCAAGAGAAAAACTATTCAACGGATCTCAATGCCCTAAATCTGAAATACAGAGTTCCTTGCTTATATTTATACTTAACAATCTAGCTATTTGGTAACATATATACAGTATATGTATTGGGTAAAATAATTAATTGCACTTTTATTGTTATTTAGCTTTGTATGGTAAGCATAAAAGCCTTAAATCTAATGGTGGGACAAACTTGTTTTCTGTTTGATAACCTTCATACGTGCATTCGTCACCTCAAGGCTCGACTACGGAAACTCCCTCCATGTCAGCCTCCCCACCTCTTCCCTCCATAAGCTGTAGATTTGATTTCATAAGCTTGATTTCAAGATCCTCATCCTCACCTACAAGGCCATTCACGGCCTTGCTCCCTCCTACCTCTCCAACCTACTATCCCCCCACCTACCTGCCCGTACCCTCCGTTCCTCTGGCTCCGGTCTGCTCCACGTCCCCCGCCCCAACCGCCCTACCATCGGTGGTCGGGCCTTCAGCCTCTCAGCCCCCAGGCTCTGGAACTCCATCCCCCAGTGCCTTCGCCGCTTCCTCCCTTTCCTCCTTCAAGGCCGGTCTCAAAACCTTTCTCTTTGACTGTGCCTTCAGCTCCCCTCTCGACTCTCTTCCCCCTCCTCGCTCCCTTCCTTCCCTCCCCTCACCCTGACCATTTCCCCCCTCCTTGCTCCCTCCCTTCCCTCACCCTGACCATTTCCCCCCTGCTCGGGTCATGACCCAACTGTGCAGCGCCTTGGGACGTCCTCCTGACGTGAAAGGCGCTTTATAAATGGAATCTTGTTGTTGTTGTTGTTGTAGATCATCCAGTATCTGCAGCTCGTGTCCTCTCCCACACCAGGCTCTGTGACCCCATCACCCCCACCAGGCTCCACTGGCTTCCCATTCCCCAGAGAATAGAATTCAAAATCTTCGTCCTCATTTTCAAGGCCGTCCATAGCCTTGCCCTTCCTGCCTCTCTGACCCACAATCAACCTGCCCGTTCCCTCCATTCAGCAGACTCTGGTCTGCTCCATGTCTCCCACCCGACCCGCCCTACCATCGGCAGCCAGGCTTTCAGCCTCTCTGCCCCCACCCTTTGGAACTCCATCCCCCATTCCCCTCGCCTTGCTTCCCCTTGCTTCCTTCAAGGCACGATTCAAGACGCTCCTTTTCAACCGTGCCTTCAGCTGCCCTCCCTCATCCCAACCCTGCCACCCCACCCTCAGGTCCTGATCCCCGACCGTTTAAGCCTTGGGATGTCCTCCCAACGTGAAAAGCACTTTACAAATGTAATTTTGTTGTTGTTGTTGATAATTGATAATCTCTCACAGAAACACCATCAGTTGCCAGCTCCTGTGGACGGTCGGTTATAGCTAATGTTGAAGCAGGTGGAGGTTCCACAGTTGTTTGTCCTGTCATCCAGGGTAGTACAGGCAGCATCAGCTTCTCTGTGAATGTCGACTCAGGGCCCAGTGGCAATAGCAGGGCAAACAAGCACATGTCTTTAGGTAAGCAATTTTAATTAAGAACAATCAGGTTTATAAATGTGTGTGTGATCACTCAGTGCTCTGGGATGTATGCAGATCTCTTACTTGTAAATTGCATTGTTTTTCAACACTTGAGTGCCAATAATTTTCTTTTTGCATTTTGTCTGGATTACTTAATTTCGAGTAACATTAGTCTCCAATGAGGTACTGGTCTGGCCAAGTATAATATTGTTGTAACATGAGAACAACAGGAAGTAATTCCACACTTTGAGCCAATTCTGCCATTTATTAGATTGTGGCAGGTTTTTTATACCAATTTCTCTGCCTTTTCTTCATATCCCTTACTTCCCATGTATCTGTCTATCTCCTATTTAAACATCCCGGTTGATTATGCCTCTGCAGATAATATCTACATTTTCATATTAAACAATGGATTAACTAAAAGTTCTGTTTTAAATATTTAGAATAACAATTGAAATTACTGCTTTTAACTAAATTATATGAATTGAAAATAGGAAATATTTAGTGGACAGTATTTCAAATTAACTAAGGTCACTGAGAATATTAAAATAACATATTTGCAGATTCCCGGGTAAAAGAACTGGAGGACAAAGTGCAAGGTACGGTGAACTCCTGATAATAAGACCCTGGCTTAGAGCATCATGCTGTCAATATACCAGCTGCTTCCCATGTAAAATGTAATAGTACTGCTTAATGCCATACTGATGACTATAAGGACTAGCTGAAGGAAGCTAGGAGTGCATAATGACCTGCTGGTTAGCTGCATACATATTTAGACTTGTAGATCCTCAGCCCAGATTGACATGCTGGATGGAGGGTGAACATTGAAAGTTAGAATGCAACATTAATTACGCACAAGTAATGTTGGAATTGTCTTAATGCCTGAACAGTACAAATACAGGCAGGGGTATCATTGATGCACAATGTGTGGCAATTTTCACTTCTAAGCAAGAGCAAAAAAAGATCATTGGGTGTCTAGCAAAGTCCTTTTTCTATCCTATTAAAAGATCAATGTCTCTGAATTTATAAGCTCAGATGGAGCTCACATGGAATGATGTACTCAAACTATGCTATTAAAATAGTTCATTTATTAAAGTAGACCACTGGTCAATCACAATCTTTAGAGATCTTTTTTTGTAATGCCCCGGGTTAATGTTTATAGAGTTATTATTCGTAAAAACCAAATTATTTAAACTAGAATCCAATAGTTCTTGGACTAAAATAGTCTGTAATATGATCTCTTATTATTATAGATACATTATTACAAATTTATTATTTGGTATCTCCAAATATATTGATAAGATGATTTTTCAATTACATAGAGAAAGATTTTATTATATTTCCAGCTATATATATATATTTAAAGTTAGGCTTTAAACTGTGAAAAATTGTCATGGTTTTACATTAATTCTTTGATATAAATCTTTTGAGCAAAGTTATTTATGTTTGATCATGATGTTATCTCCAACATGTTTCTCTCCACTTTCTATGCCAACAGACAAGCAGCAGTTTTTGAAAAGGAATTGGGCAAACCTGGTTCAAAAAATAAAATGTGTTGATGACCTAGCTGATGAAATGAGGGGGAACAGGCTCAACAGCGAAATGTATTCCCTAATCATGGCTTGCAACACACCTGAAAACAAGATGAGGAAACTTCTGGAGTACACAATCACGACTAAAACGGCTTCTGAGCATCTGTTCACAAAACTGTGCAGGTCACAATATTACATCATGCAGGATCTCATCTCGTAAAGCAAATACCACCTTCCCTCAAAACCTTATTAAAATCAATGAAACAACTACACTGTGAATTATCTTTATTCTCTACAAGATGAATATCACATTTTTTTGGGGGGTATACAGGAAAATCCAAACAATATTTTGAATGTATTCATTTCACAGATATGGTGCTCAATCTGGAAAATATATCAAAGCATCTACCTACTCAATAGGCTTCATATCTGATGTTTGACATACAAACCAATTTCGACTGTTTTATAACATTCCATATTTTAATCGTATGTAACTAAAAAAAATCAAATAACCACTATTTTGAAGTTGCAAATAAAGGTTGATAGAAAAGGCATGTTTTTTTAAAAAAAAACAAAATAGTATAACATTTTGTCACACTCATCTTAATTCACACTGCATACCATTTCCTCTATTGTAAAGCAGAGATTGTCTACTCCCCGGCTCTGTTATGGATTCAGTCACAAGAAAATGCAAGAGAACAGTGAATTTGGAGACTGCTCTTCCTTCCTACCATAGCTTATCGTTTAGATGGCATCCCTGAGATGGGGATGAACTTGTGTTGTACCAGTTTATGTACAGCATATCAAAGGAGTATCAACACAAGTAAAACTCATCTTGTGAACATCTGCAAACCTTAATTTCCTCTCCATTGCCTGGTCTATAATGCTTCACTGTTCTCCAGAACCCAACACAAAATGTAATTTCAAAACTGCCACATATTTTTGAAGGTAGTTTAATGAAGAGTAAGCCACCTGATATTCAAGTGAATTACTCCCTATAATTTAATTTATTCAATAATAACTAAGCAACAAGTTTACCTTTTGAAATCAGACTAATAAATCTGAGAAAAAGGAAAGTGAGAGTTGGGGATTAAACTTTTTAAATTGCTTTTTAGAGAAAGTAGCTGTATTCATAAGAAATCTCATCTACACACTGGCTGCCTAGTTTTTCATAAGTTATAAAGTATAAGAAAAAAATGAGTGATCAAGAAGATGCCAATAAAAAAAATGATTCCTATACACAAAAACAGAACCTTGAATAAATGAAATGATTTTTTTTGTAAAAATGTCTTAATTCTTAAAATAACTAACTTAAATTTAATATTGTTGTTGAACGACAGACTATTCTTAATCAGATCACCTTATTTTGCAAAATGCTATTTTAGAAACTATTGTAACTACTTATGTTGTACATTTAAATGCTCTCGTTATAGTGCAGCTGACATTTTACTCATGTGCAATTCATTTTCTGGTAATAATGCCTGGAATAATGTTCAAGGTATTAAACCTATTGTCTAGTCAGTAAATGGGTTTAAAATCTGTGGTTTATTGGAATTCTCTCCGGCGAGCACCAAGTTCTTGGCATCCATACACTTATTTGGAATGCCTTTGGGTCTCCTTGAAAGGATTCCAACTGGTTTCCTCAGTCCACCTTTAAAGCCATTATCATGGCACCACTGTGCAGAGGTAGATTCACCTTTGAATGAAGTAACCTCCAGCTGCAAAACATCTTTAGTTACTGAATTGGCTGACATATTCAACTTGGCATCTATGGTTGAGTATTGTAAGAGGTCATTATCTGAAGAAGGCCTGTGAGTTCTGTTGATGCCCCACTCTCTCTTCTTCATATGACTACGTTTAGAGAGCTTTAACTTTTCTTTTTCAAGCCAAAAAGTTCCAGGAGAGACATTTGCCTTTTTAGCCTCATTGGGTAAAATACTCGGGAAATAGCAGTCTTGAACCGTTTCTGGGGTTGTTAAACCTCCACCACTATACTGCTGATTTGCTGCACTTTCATATTTTATATCTTTCACATTAAGACACTTTAACCCATTTACTCTCAAATCTTCTGGGAAACCTGTTGATTCACAATATCTGTGTTCTCCTCGACTTTGTTTTTTCTGACACTGGGCTTGGTTGCTGGTTATTCTTTTCAGTGTTGAATAGAAACCAATCCCTGGAATAAGGAACTGAGGATGGTTCATCCGACGTCAGGCTTAACGAGCTGGGAATTAATGGAAACCTCTTGACTTTTGCCTCTGTTTAGTCCTGCATTCCATGTTAATGGATGATAGACGACTTCTCCATCGATTGGGCAAGCGTTCCGCTCGTGCAACAGCCAATGGTCAATGCATTCTCTGTGAAACTAGTTAAAACAAGTTCATTCAATTAAAAGTTGAAGTTTACTAATCAGAAAATGCAATGATCTGCAACTTACCAGAATATGGGGAAACAAGACTAATTGGTCATTATCTTAGAAACAAATCACTATTCGAGTGTAACTAAATAAGTAAGATTAAAAAGATCTTCAAAACTGAATGCCAGTACATTGCTGCACCAGTCAGATATCAGTCGCTGCAATGCTAATACAATTATCCTTTTTTAGCTATAAGGAAATGCATTGCATTTTATAGCAATTTACATGTTACAATTTCAAGCACTTCTTAAGCTAATTACAGACAAGTATAGTGACTGTATATGTGGCAGCGATCTGAAGTGTCACATAAACAGCCCTGAGGTGAAAGACCAAATAATCTGGAGCATCATTGTACAGGATACTAGAAAATTCCCTTTTTTGAATGAAATCTTTAATATGTCATACAAAGAAACAGCACCTCCAACAATACTGCAGTGATAGGTCAACCTGAACTATGATCTCTAATCCCAGTGTATTTTGGAAATTCAGAGCAGTGGAGCCAGTGATCTGAGAAAGTTTAAATAGTTTAAAGAGCTGACTATGTGCTGATTGACTGCAGTTGATGCACAGGGTTAGGGGTGCAACATTACTGACAAACTGGATTCATGTGAAATCAACATTAAAGCTCGGTATACTTGAAATGGGCAAACAATCTACTAGTTACCATGTATTATTCAAACTTTTATTCTGTATTAGGTATTATTCATTCTGAAGGGGAGGGAAACGCTCTTACCTTGTGGTTGCAAGGCAGTCGACGAACATGCTGACTGATTCTAAACACCTTTAGACAGATTCTGCACTGTTGACCGGGCAGAAGTAGCTTACTTCCATGTCTCACTACCAGCAATGGCAAAGCTCCCACTATGTTTTGAGGCACACTGGATGACCTATCTCTTGAGACAAATGGATAGGAGGTTAGAGAAGCTTCTACCAGTCAGTCTTACAACCCGACATAGGATTGCTGAACACATTTTCAAGAATGAAGCTTTTAAATTTTTAAATTTATTATACCTTAATCTGTTATTACCTGTACATGCAATAATATCAGATCAATAAGACTTGTATTTGTTTAGGTATGTCCAGTCATCATGATGTAAATGTCAAAAAAGCTGTAATTTCCAGCCATAATAATTCTACTGATAAATCACTTTCTGTACAACATTGTTTGCTCAGGTAAAGATATATTTAGGATGCTTTCTGTTCTAAAAATGCAAGGTAGATAAGCAATATTTCTATGTGTTTTGCCCGCAATGTTTAAAACTAATACTTCATGATCGCTTGTACAAAGGCTTACTTGTCTAGTTGAAGAAGTAATTCATAGTCCTCAGGGGCTATCTCTCTGTTCATCAGATCAGCAATAACTGCTGATGGTAATGGCTGACCAGAAGCGTGCTGCACTGGATGCCAGCGGTGATTTCTCTTCTATAAAGTAAGACAGAATGCACCCATTTCTACTTCTAGAAAAACATCAAACCAGGTTTCAGAGACAACAATCAACTTGTTAATGAATTAGTAAGTATGAAACTAATTATACCAAAAACTTTTAAATACCAATTAAACTTTCTGTAACTGTGGTTTCAAGCATGGTGAGCCATTTCCATACATCTTAGACTTCCAGTTGACTAAAATGAAAATATTAAGATTGCCTGATCATATCCCCAAATGGCACTAGGTGGTTGGATCTCATGAGTTGCACAGCTTGTTAAATACTCCATCATTGCATTTCTTTGTGCTAATGTGAAGTGTTTGAAATCTTGCATAAAAATGCCACCATTACCTCTCGAAACATGAACTGGTGCTGATAATGACTGTGGTTGGGATAACATTTCTGGCAAAGGTGAAAATCAGAACAGCTTGCACACCTATATAATACATTGGAGGGAAAGCAAAAATAATGAAAACATTAAAAATGAATCTTGTAACACATACTAACCATATATCTGTAGCTCTGTTAACTGTATAAAAGTGGCAAATTGCAAGGATTAAAGATCTAAATTTATTTATGTGGAATCCTTTTCCCACCCCTCCTCTGCTAAAGAAAGTGACTCATGGTGGCCATGGCTTCATGTGACCAGCAGCTTGCAGGTGCCTCACCCATGTGTTTTTCACATGAATAGATGTGAGCACTCAATCCTGATTCTGCCCTTCCTCTCTCCCTCCCTCACATGCACTTCAATGGTTAAACTGTTAAGTCTCAACAGCTCCTGTAGTCACCCTGGTTACAGTGCAGTGAATTTTTCACATCTTTCTCTGCATGTGTTGTCAGGGAAACAGGGTTAAGCTGCAGGAAACTGGGAATGTGCAGCTGCAGTTCCTAAAACCTGATGCAGTTTGTTATCTTTCTACATCATTTAAAAAATTATTTAATGGATGCTCGCTGCAGTAAAATTATTCCAATTTTGTACGCACTATTGCACAATTGGTAAACTTAGTTTAATGACGATCTACAACAGCAACTTGCACCTATATAGCGCCCTACATGCAAGGTAGCGTCTCAGAGCGCTTAAGATCTAAACTCCCTTTATGACATGCTAAAGATTAGCAAACCCTGAAGAATTACCCTTCACAATCTTTGAGATCAATGAACTCTTCATAAACACTCAGTGCTGGCTGCAATCGTGGGCCGTAGAATGGAACTCACCTTTTGTTGGCCCAGAAACCACACATAAGCTATACTGCAGAGTTATTCTTCATCAACAAGATGCTATATGTTTTCCCTGTTCAGCACCACTTAACCTTTGCACTTGATCTTTGTTCCCCTGTAGTTGAGCCTTTTGTTTTGTCCACCCCACAATGTTTCTGGGCTCAATACTCAGACTGCCACTTTTCAAATTCACATGATCTATCACCTCCAGGCTCTGAGTATCTTTATGCTATAAGGAGGTTTTTTTTGTGAAGCACACTGCTGAACAAACAGCACAAAAAAATCAGAGACCAACAGCAGATGTGCAAATTATAACCAATCAGCAACTAAAGTCAGATTGTTCCCAACAGCAGTTTTACCCAGAAGCAATTTGTACCAGCACAAAGGCAACAGAAGGTATAAAGCCATTAACTAGATGCTACATAGTTGACAGTTTTTCCATACAACTGGCCAGTTCTATCTCAAATTCAAAGAGATGGATAAATTGGGAGCAAAAGTACTTTCAAAATGAACTACATTCACTTTTTAAGATTTGCTCTATATAATGACATTCAGCATGAAACCAACTCAGATCATTTTTCTCTTGGTGACAGTGAAGACTTGAGGACCATTGGCTATACATAGTTTGAAACTGCAGGTTCATTGGAAAGCTCTCAGTCTTTCTCGCTAGAAAATGAACTTATGATCTGCTTGCATACACAGAAATACTTGAATGATCATTTTTCAAATCACTGAATATAGCTGTCAGAATATCTACAGATGGTCAGCAATCTGGAAACACAGAATCCTGAACAATTTTAAAATCTTCACTGCACCTGGACGCCCTTTTAAACGTGTAAAACAAATTGTGATGTTGCATTTCTTATGCGTTAATATGAAAAGATAGTAAATATATCCAAAAGAAATATTAGGTGGGAGAAGACATGTTTTTAAAAAGCACAATATTTAGTATTTGATGGCTGTTACTAGGAATTAATGCTCCATTTACTTGTAGCACTTGCCCTGGATTGGGCAGACTTTACACGTGTTGCATGGAATACCAAGATGCTTGTCCAGCCTCTCCCTTTCTGCTGCTGTGGTAAGTTTGATGCAATTTCTGAATTCTTCAAGTAGAAGATTTAATGGTGCAAACTCCTCCCTGCAGAGAGGACACTTGATGATGTTTTCATTGTCAATCTTTGCTTGGTGCTCTGCCCAGATCTTCATGCATCTGATATGGATATTATTACCACAGCCAAACCTACAATAAAATAGCAGTCAATGACTATTAATAACTGTACTTATAACTAACACTACACAAAATGTAGGGAATAGTCTGGTGCTATAATGGAAAGTTGATATTCTGAAAGGATGAGATCAAACTGGCTAAAAGGCTTGTTTAATACCAACCTCTCATTTGATTATTGCCTAAACCATGTCTATAAAACAGCCACAATGTATTACAATAAAAAGCTTCACCTACACAGCCATCATAAATATCATATGAATACTGAAAATATAAAGGTCCACTTTCAAGTTAAATATCACCACTGCAATACAAAATGTCAGTTTCCTCATTTAGAAAATGTATCTAATTTACTCCACACATATGGAGAAAATAGGTAGTGTTCAGGTATGCTTTTTGCAACTATATCATGAATTGCAACCAAAGCAAAAGTTCCATAAATATCTTGAAAATGTTTAGGCAAAAACACAAGTTGATTGGTTTTATTGTATTAATGTTTAACTGTATTAATGTTTATAAGTGTTAATAATATTCCCAAACTATAAAAAGCATAAAGCACTAAACTACAAATGTAATAAAGAGGGAACTATGTCTGCAATTTGTCAGTTGTATGATTCTCAAGAACTATTGTTTCATTCTCCTGAGGGTTCCCAATCAGTGTCATCAAAGTGCATCAACAAGCGATGTACACCCCCACGTGCCACCTTGTGGCTGAGAGCATCCACTGCAGGAGCACAATAATAATAATAATAATCCTTGCATTTGATATAAAGTCTTATCACGTCTTCAAGAAGTGTTTCACAGAATATACTGTAAAGTGAATTGACTGTATATTTTGTGGGCGAAACGCGGCACTCAATTGAGTACAGCAGCCGTGGATTGAGTGACCAAATTATTATTATGATTTTTTTGAAGGAATTATTAACCCCGGAAAAGCGATCCGCCAATCAACTGGGTTCCTATTTACTGCTCGGTAAACAGAGGCACGTGGAGGAAGGAAACTTGCCCAACGTTTTGTCCTGTCGGGAATTGAACCCAGGTCTCTTGGTTGCGAGGCAAGTGCTTTAACCACTGAGCTGCAGGACTCCATGTATAATATTTACTGTTTATCCTGCGGAGATTTGAATCATATTCAAGACTTGAAACCCTAACAGTGCAAATGTTTCCACCTGGCTGAAGGCTCTTATTAATACTGTTAATTCGAATATCAAAGACGGTGTTTTAGAAACAGCAGCAAGCTGGGGATGGAAGGTAAATACACAAAGTACTGTATTGTTTAACAACAAAACCAGGAAACTTAGCGAATAAGAAAAACAAATAATCTGACAGGTTTTGGTACGGAAAGGAGAACCAACCAAACATTAAATAAGATAAAAAGATGAGAGTATTACAAGCAATTTTCTGTGGCCTGGTAAACCATACATATTAATTTCAACTCAAGTTGCATTTAAGGTCACTCAGGTGCTAATATTTCCTGGTGCAATTAAAGTGTTAACTTCTGTTTGTTTGTTGCAAGTAAATGAGGTATTTATTTTCCCACCATAATTCAAAGTTTTGGTTTAGATAATCTGTATTGCTTTATTTGCTTTCCACAAAGCTACACTGTTCCTACACATAACCTAATTTACAATCAACCCGAGACTGACCTGCAGTATGTTACAGGCTGTTTCTTTTTCAGTAGTTCCTCTTGGCAAATAGGGCAGACATCCTCTAGCTCCACCACCTTCTGCCTTACAAGTCCAATCACATCTTCAAAAGTTTGCTTCCTCCTGGATCTACTGGCAAGTGGTTGAGGTGAGGTTTCTCGATGCAGATTCTCCAACAGCATATCAATTTCTCGATCCACAAGGCCAATTTGGAAAGAGTCTGAAATGAGTGGTATTCAGGAATTTAGATTCCCACCTAAAATGGATATAGTCAGCCAGCCCTTCTCCTCCCTTGTTTTCCTCTATTCTCTGAAAGCACTGTCTCATGCTGGAGTACGAGTCCACAGGGGTCTTCAGGTAACTGTTCAATGACCATTCTTCACGTGTGAGCCTAAATAGTGAGCGTTGGTAGCTATTTAACTACAGTGGATGACAGTCAAGCCAGACACTTATTGCTTCACACTCACGCTCAGTGCTTTTCAGGAAGTTGGTTAACAACTATTAGAAAAGGAAAACCTGATAGATTTCCTCTAAGATAACCCAGGAACCCTGAAACCAATTGTGGCACCACAACTCCTGCCCCGTTTGAGATTGGCTAACTGGTGAACAGTCACATATTCAAGACTGAGTTGATAGATTTCTAAAGGATAGAGGGATTAAGGGATATGGGGATAAGACGGGTAAATGGAATTAGGTCAGAAGATCAGCCATGATCTTATTAAATGGTGGGGCTGGCTCGAGGGGCCGAATGGCCTACTCCTGGTCCTACGTCTTATGGTCTAAGAATCAAACTGCAGCTTGAGAGAGGAACTTTACAAGAGTCAATCATATCTAAATATATATGACTGACCCATGATGAGCTTTACTCAGGTCACCAACTATTACGAAGAATTATATTTGTATAGTATTATAGATATGGAAAAACAAAGGGACAGGAATATAATTGTATTGTTGATTGGTAACAAAAATGAAAATATTACTGCAATAGATAAAATAATAATAATTTTCCCTTTCAAATTTGAATAAACATTTTCTAGCAGAAATACTATCCAAATCTATCAAATCCCCCATATATTTATTTTTTATGGATGATGGTTTTTTCTGACACAAACAACATTGTTTGTTGTTATATTATATTAATTGATGCTGATTTTGCTAGCCTTGGGCTCCTGGATGGGTAGTCATGTACTTCCAGCAGGATAGATGTGTTAATGATAGCAATATGGTAAATGCCATTTACACACGGTGTACTTCAGTATGTAAGAGCATAAAGTCTTGTAACAAAAGAGAGAGCTTAAACGTATTGAACTATTTTACATTCCTGGTAAGTTTCATTTATTTAAATTTGACAGAAAAGCTTGAACTATACCATTAAGCATAGCTGAACTTAAACCATGCTAAGTGTTAACATCTGCAATTTATAAGCTAAAGAGTTGAATTACTTACTTTCATGATCCCGTGGAAGCTTAAACTTCTTCAACAAAATCCTGTTTACAGATTTAAAAGATATTTTAAATATTTGAAACATACAATGAAAATGAGAATTTGAAAGCAGCCCTAAAGAGTATTTTTGATGACTTAATATTGTTTTGTTAACCTAATCTAAACCATTAATTAGTCTGTGAAGGAAGTATGGGCCATATAGTACTTAATATAGAACAACAGAAAGTATTTCCTATCTTTCTGAGTAAATAAAAACACATCTAATTAAAACACCTTTGAAATTTTGATGTTCTCACCCTGTACTCGGAATTTGGGGTTTCCTCTCATCAGCTAAATAATCAGCTCTGTGGTTCCTTTGAGAATAACAGATTGATATTTTTCTCTTCCTAGATAGATTGGGAGCAGCCTAAATGAGGAAAATGTGGTACTGCTAAAAGCACAAACGTTTTGGGTCAACATTTGTGTTTCTTGGCTCAGACATCTCCCAAATTAGCAGCCAGGAAGGAAGTGGCTGATCAGCCACTTGATGATGGTTCTAATGCTGACATCAACTGAGCAGTTCTATCATGAGAGGAAAAGCCCCAAATGGCAAGTCAGTAAGGTTTGAAAAGTAAAGGTAAAGTGTCAAATACCCTTTAATCAGTGAGGAGACTTTTTACTTGAATCATTTCTATTGAAAATACTCCCTCAACACACCCCAATGTACATATACATTGTACTTCTCTTTTAATTACAACCACAAATAAAAGGGTTTTACACATTTTGTTTATCTAAAAACGGTTTGATAAATATATCAATGCTTTCCTACAGTTGAAAAATGTTTTAGAACTTAAGTGTGCTCATCAGCCAAACTACTAGAATGGTACCCCACTACAATAAAGTCATCAGTCAAACAATATTAATGTTTGATTCAGCAAAAATATTTCCAGAGATATTACAATTGTGAACGGTTAAGATTAAGTCCGTTAACTCCAGTCATTTTCCGTTGACGAATGTAATTGAAATGTTCTACAAATGTGCTGCACAAATGATCCAGCCTTTGGAAATTGCATTCATCTTAGGTGCAAAGATACATCAGGCCCCAGCCTTTTCCAAACTCGATAGGAACGCATTTAACAGCAGTGGGCTGACAATTCATTTGTAAAGACTTCAACCTGTTACCTTAAGAAGTAAGAGGTGTCTGCCTTTGCTGTTTGTCAGTGTGGCTGTGAGTTGCGCTGGTTTTATGTTTGATAGGGATACTGATTCTCATCACTCCTAAACACATATTTGCTTCGTCAAAATGGATATGCATTGAAGATTAAAAAAACAGTAATCTAAGAGTTTGACAAATTCACCAGCAGATATGTTTGCAGAGGTCCTTTTCTTTCAGAAATGTCGAACAGCTACAGCTGTGAGGATTTCCTATGTTTACCTTCCAGAAAACAAAAAACAAATTGAAATTGACGCATTTCTTAACTTCTTTAAATACAACATCCTCTCATGGTACTGTCTGGTCATATATTAAAGTTTTAAGGATAATTTCCCCCCCGAGTATTTTACTGTTTAAAACTGCAAAATTCACAGCATTCTTGGTAAGAAACAACATAGAACTCCAGCAGAGCAGAATGAGGGGACGCTCTTAGGATAAAATTATTCTCATCCAATGTTCAGATGTATGCCATTTCCAGGATAGCGATTAGGAGGTGTCACTAATGATCTTTCCCTCTCTTTAACCCAGGGGTCATGAGGCTCAAAGGAGATGAGGTAAAGCATAGGGCAAACCTGGCACCTTCGCTATATACACTGCTATCGTTCTCCAACAACTCTCCTCATACCTTTATATCCACACGTACTGCTGGACTTCCACAATTCCTTGAACTAAACTAAACTACCCTCCGAACCGAAATGTTGATAATGTGAATTAGGAAAAATTCGACAGCGGAAAAGATCCAAATGTAAAGATAATATCTGATGTTCGTATAATTACTTTAAAATACTTTGCTTCGCCCTCTTCTTTCAGATGAAATCCAACTGGGCCTAATTCTCTCAATATATATATAGTTGCATTGAGCGCTTGATCTTGATGCAAGCTAACCAAGTCATTTGCAGTTTGTCTCCAAGGTGCGGCTCGCAACATCTTGAGGAAGCGTGAAGCAACTGCAGGAGCCTAAAGAGAAAACGAAGCGGTCAAAATACACAATAATTTCTGACAACATATTCCCCTATTGTATTGTCTGTCTGACGGTACAGACCGTCCCGAGGCGTGATACATACTTTCACTTGGGGGGGGGTCTCTCGCACTCTTTCGGGGTCTCTCTCTCTTGTGGGGTCCCTCTCTCACTCGGCGTCTCTCTCTCTCGGGGTCTCTCTCTTGGGGTCTCTCGCTCTCTCTCGGGGTCTCGTTTGCTCTCTCTCTCGGGGTCTCGCTCTCTCTTGGGGTCTCTTTTTCAAGGGTCTCGCTCTCTCTTTCTTGGGGTCTCTCTCTCGGGGTTCTTTCTCTCGGGGTGGGGGTAGGTCTCTCTTTCTCTCGGGGTGGAAGGGCTCTCTCTCTCGGGGGTGGGGGGGCTCTCTCTCTCAGGGGGTGGGGGGGTCTCTCTCTCTCAGGGATGGGGGGTCTCTCTCTCGGGGGTGGGGGAGTCTCTCTCTTGGGGATGGGGGGGCTCTCTCTCTCGGGGTGGGACGGGGGGGTCTCTCTCTCGGGGTGGGATGGGGGAGTCTCTCTCTCTCGGGGTGGGATGGGGGGGGTCTCTCTCTCTCGGGGTAGGATGGGGGGGGGTGTCTCTCTCTCTCGGGGTGGGATGGGGTCTCTCTCTCTCGGGGTGGGATGGGGGGGGTCTCTCTCTCTCTCGGGGTGGGATGGGGGCTGTCTCTCTCTCTCTCGGGGTGGGATGGGGGGGTCTCTCTCTCTCGGGGTGGGATGTGGGGGGGGTTTCTCTCTCTCGGGGTGGGATAGGGGGGTCTCTCTCTCTCGGGGTGGGATGGGGGGGTGTCTCTCTCGGGGTGGGATGGGGGGGTCTCTCTCTCGTGGTGGGATGGGGGGCTCTCTCTCTCTCTGGGTGGGATGGGGGGGCTCTCTCTCTCTCGGGGTGGGATGGGGGTCTCTCTCTCTCGGGGTGGGGTGGGGGGGGTCTCTCTCTCTCGGGGTGGGATGTGGAGGGGTTTCTCTCTCTCTCGGGGTGGGATGGGGGGGGTCTCTCTCTCTCGGGGTGGGATGGAGGGGTGTCTCTCTCTCTTGGGGTGGGATGGGGGGTGTCTCTCTCTCTCGGGGTGGGATGGGGGGGTCTCTCTCTCTCGGGGTGGGATGGGGGGGGTGTCTCTCTCTCTCTCTTGGGTGGGATGGGGGGTGTCTCTCTCTCTCGGGGTGGGATGGGGTCTCTCTCTCTCGGGGTGGGATGGGGGGTCTCTCTCTCTCGTGGTGGGATGGGGGGTGTCTCTCTCTCAGGGTGGGATGGGGGGGTGTCTCGCTCTCTCTCTCGGGTGGGATGGGGGGGGTCTCTCTCTCGGGGTGGGATGGGGGTGGTCTCTCTCTCTCGGGGTGGGATGGGGGGGTCTCTCTCTCTCGGGGTGGGATGGGGGGGTCTCTCTCTCTCGGGGTGGGATGGGGGGGTCTCTCTCTCGGGGTGGGATGGGGGGGTCTCTCTCTCGGGGTGGGATGGGGGTCTCTCTCTCTCGGGGTGGGATGGGGGTCTCTCTCTCTCGGGGTGGGATGGGGGTCTCTCTCTCTCGGGGTGGGATGGGGGTCTCTCTCTCTCGGGGTGGGATGGGGGTCTGTCTCTCTCGGGGTGGGATGGGGGGGTCTCTCTCTCGGGGTGGGATGGGGGTCTCTCTCTCTCGGGGTGGGATGGGGGTCTGTCTCTCTCGGGGTGGGATGGGGGGGTCTCTCTCTCGGGGTGGGATGGGGGGTGTCTCTCTCTCTCTCTCGGGGTGGGATGGGGGGGTTCTCTCTCTCTCGGGTAGGATGGGGGGGTCTCTCTCTCTCGGGGTAGGATGGGGGGGTCTCTCTCTTCGGGGTAGGATGGGGGGTCTCTCTCTCTCGTGGTGGGATGGGGGGTCTCTTTCTCTGTCGGGGTGGGATGGGGGGGTGTCTCTCTCTCGGGTGGGATGGGGGGTCTCTCTCTCTCGGGGTGGGATGGGGGGTCTCTCTCTCTCGGGGTGGGATGGGGGGGTCTCTCTCTCTCGGGGTGGGATGGGGGGGTCTCTCTCTCTCGGGGGGTGGGGGAGTCTCTCTCTTGGGGATGGGGGGGCTCTCTCTCTCGGGGTGGGGTGGGGGGTGTCTCGCTCTCTCTCTCGGGGTGGGATGGGGGGGTCTCTCTCTCTCGGGGTGGGATGGGGGGTGTCTCTCTCTCTCTCGGGGTGGGATGGGGGGGGTCTCTCTCTCGGGGTGGGATGGGGGGGTGTCTCTCTCTCTCTCTCGGGGTGGGATGGGGGGGTCTCTCTCTCTCGGGGTAGGATGGGGGGTCTCTCTCTCTCGGGTAGGATGGGGGGTCTCTCTCTCTCGGGGTGGGATGGGGGGGTCTCTCTCTCTCGGGGTAGGATGGGGGGGTCTCTCTCTCTCGGGGTGGGATGGGGGGGGTCTCTCTCTCTCGGGGTGGGTGGGGGGGGTCTGTCGCTCTCGGGGTGGGGTGGGGGTCTCTCTCTGTCGGGGTGGGATGGGGGGGCTCTCTCTCTCTCGGGGTGCGATGGGGGTGTCTCGCTCTCGGGGTGGGATGGGGGGTCTCTCTCTCTCGGGTAGGATGGGGGGGTCTCTCTCTCTCGGGGTGGGATGGGGGGGTCTCTCTCTCTCGGGGTGGGATGGGGGGAGACACGGAGGCCGCGGTGGGGCTGAAGCTCAGGCTCAGGGCCCGGTTACCATGGAGACCGGACGCCGAGTCCCGGCAGCCAGTGCGGCATTCCCGCCCATTCACTCCATCCAGAGAGGGAGAGAGAGAGAGAGAAGACAGGAAGAGATAAAGAGGTGGAAGGAGAGGAGGAAAAGAACAGAGGGACGTGGAGGGGAGGAGAGAGGAAAAGAAAAGAGAGACGTGGAGGGGAGGAGGAGAAGCGAGAAAGGAGGAAAATGAGATCACGTTCAAAACTTCCAACAAAATTTGACGGCGTAATTGATGGCCACAGTAAATGAGCTCTCACTCACTCACTCACACACTCACACTCACTCACACCCTCATTCACTCACACACTCATTCACTCACACTCACACCCTCACACTCACACCCTCATTCACTCACACTCACACCCTCATTCACTCACACCCTCATTCACTCACACTCACACCCTCACTCACACCCTCATTCACTCACACTCACACCCTCATTCACTCACACACTCATTCACTCACACCCTCACTCACACCACACCCTCACTCACACCCTCATTCACTCACACACTCACACCCTCATTCACTCTCACCCTCACTCACACACACCCGCACTCACACACACTCACCCTCACACACACTCACTCACACTCACCCTCTCACACACACTCACCCTCACACACACACTCACCCTCTCACACACACTCACCCTCACACTCACTCACACTCACCCTCTCACTCACCCTCTCACACACACTCACCCTCACACACACTCACACACACTCACCCTCACACTACCTCACACTCACCCTCTCACACACACTCACCCTCTCACACACACTCACCCTCCACACACACACTCACCCTCTCACACTCACCCTCACACACACACTCACCCTCACACACACACACACACTCACCCTCACACACTCACCCTCACACACACACACTCACTCCCCCACACACACTCAGTCACACACTCACTCATACCCACACACACTCACAGACACTCACCCACTCAAAGTCATACACACTCACTCACGCACACCTTCACTCACACACACACACACGATTGAGTTTTTTTTAAAAGAAATGAATGTGAAGGAAATCAAGTGGTATTAATGTCTCAGAATGAACTTCTGTCCAGAACATTACAGTGAGTTTGTCGCACAGTGTGTTTTTGTTCTCTCTCGGATCAGATGAGAGCTTTCACGGCGTGTCCAGCAGATGGTGGTGTCGTTTAATTAAAATAAGTGGCAATTTTTATGATATGGGAGTGACAAGAGACAGGAATTGAACTGATTTAGGAAACTAAAAAACAGTCACTTCACTAGGATTCTGATCCCCCCCCCCACCACCCCCCAGGCACAGAATGAATGAACATCCATGAGTGAAACGGTGACCTCCAGAAATTGGTCCTTGCCTTCTGTGGATAAAGCTTTCTAAACATCGGGAAGCAAATTTTAGGCAACAAAAGAATCTGTTTTTTATTACAAAATCTCAGAAGTTTTGTTGATTCACGGTAAGCTCGCGTCACATACTTTCTACATACATCTTGGCGTTTACAACTAACATACAGTCAACTCACATTACAGTCGATTCTGTGAAGCGCTTTGAGACGTCTAGAAGATGTGAAAAGCGCGACATCAAATGCAAAGATTATTATTACAGTCAATACCACGCACTGCAGTGTTTGGTTTTGCAGCAAAACAGTTACAGATATGACACAAACAACTTGTGTTTTTTTCTAAATACAAACTGGTCATCTAAAATGAACACCTTGAAGCACGTCACAAGATGAGAGCGTGTAGAAATGAAATCAACATCGTCTAGGCAAACGTGACATCTGCACCAGTAAGGCAGTAAAGATTAGAAGACAATTAATCTGAATTATTTTGGAAGTGGTTAAATAAATGCAAGTTGTTGCTATTGATGTTGATTCCTGCAATAATTTACTGTAACCATTTTTGCTTGGGTGGTGTTCTTTGAGACCTTGTTTTGATATTAACTTCCTATTGATGTCCGGGCGCAAATCAGGATGAAGACGGAAATATCTGAACTTGTGCTGTTTGGATACAATGGCATTATCACACCAGGCACATTCAGTAGTGGTCCCTGCGCCAGGCTTGGTGGCATTTTTAATCTTCCGTTTTGATGACTGCTGTGCATCGGATGGCAAATGAAGGGTGTGCTGTATACTGAGGGTCTAATCTGATGGATATGCAGTTTACGGGAAGCAGAGGCTGAAGATAGATTATATACTTTCTCTGTTTCTCTTTGTTGTAAGTAAGTACATACAGATATGATGTATAGGCCAGTTTTACAAGAATTTGCCTGCCTCGTGAAAACATAATAACACAGAAATATATAGAAAACTGGAGTTGGCAGTAACCTGACATAAGTTCACAAAACCAAAAATACATACATACCTAACAGTATCAGCCCTGTTTTAAATAACAAGACAGGCTCATTAAATATTGTA